TTTCTATATTTTTCCTATTTAAAACTTGACTCTTCTGTAGTTACATCGTGTACTAAGACCGACGGAAAATGAAAAGATGAAAAGTTATATCTAGCCATATCGGCCTAGAAAATCGCAACTTTTCATTTTCCGTCGGTCTTAGTACACGATGTAACTACAGAAGAGTCAAGTTTTAAATAGGAAAAATATAGAAACTCTTTGGTCATTTTTGAGCGAGATGCTAACGGTCTAATCAGATTCAATGATCTATGCTAAGCTACAGCTAAAAGTGCTTCCGCCAGACCCGCAGATCGGCTGAATGGATTCGAAAACGGTAAAACTCAACGGTTTAACTCTAGGTGAGTTGGAAAATGAGCCTATTTTCAAAAATAGTGGAGTGTTCCTTTAATGCATCCCAGCTGAATATATTAATATTAAATATCAAAGTATTAATTTCTTACAAAAAATATTTTCAATGGTAGTGTATGTAACAAAAAAAATTATGATACACAATACAATATTGAATAAACAAAATATTAAAATCTTTAACCACCATACTAGAACTGACACTTTACTAATGTGGTAAAACAGTCAAAAAATAAAGTTGTTTAAAAATGAACACTAGTGTTTTCATATGAAAGATTAGCCTAAATTAACCTATTTTCATTTGTATTTTGTACTGCTGAACTTGTAATGGCATGTGAAACACATCACCACCAAAATTAAGAACTAAAAATGAAGTTTCAGGGTTTTTTCCCTCTTATAACTAATCTAGAAACACGATGAAACTCAGCTGTGCTCTAAAAACATCTTGAAAAATAATTATCTTTATGCACTATTTACCACAAGATGTTGTGAGACATGCAAAACAGCACAAGTCTGAAAACCCCAGCAGATGCTGTTTGGCAGAATCCATGTTAACGAAGTACAATGCATGTGAGAATTCCTTCTGCAGGCTCACAGGAAGAGGAGAAACTCACACTGAGTCCACGGAAGAAGTTTTTGATGGAGTCCTCAGTGACGTCGTAGGGGAGGTTGCCCAGGAAGGCGGTGTAAGGGGGGCTGCGGGGCAGACGGGAGCGGTCGATGTTGGGCTCACGGGCGGCACGTGGAGCCGTCGGCAGAATGGACCGATCGATGGGCGGCGCACGATACACCTCCTCTTCTGTGTGCCAGGATGTAGTAACTATAAAAGAAGTGAATCGCTTGATTAGGGACAGTTCATCCCAAAATGTAAACTCTCTTATCATTTTCCCTCATGTCAATCTAAAACCAGATGACTTTCTTTCTTCGGTGAAAAAAAACTGCTCTTTCACATACAAATAAGATAGCACTGACCACGGATGTCAAGTTCCAAAAAAAGCACCATAATAATAATCCAAATGACACATGCATTATATGCCAAGTGTTTTGAACCTATCCGATAGCTTTGTCTGAGTAACGGACTGGAATTCATTCAAATAATCCCACAAAATTTGAAATATTAAGAGGCAGTGCCAGGTTTGCCATGGAAAACACTGCTGCTTCTTGTATTGAATGAGCAGAAATGGAAATGACATTTGAAAGCTACAGTGGAGGGGAATCTTATCAAATATTAAAATAAATACCATTACTAACAATTGGAATAAGCCATAAGGTCCACTTTTTATGGTGCTTTGTTTGACCTTCACAGCCAGTAGTCACTTGACGCCTTTATTGAATGGAAAAGTTCAGCATGAACATTGTGCAAAACATTTCATTTAGCTGTTCACAGAAGAAATAAACTGTTCCTTCCTTATTTTACCTACGGCTTTTTCATAATAAGCGTCAATACTAAATTTAGCCTATACAAAAAGATAAATCAACAAAACTTAAAGTTTGTCTTAAATAACTAGGACTTTTACACTTAACTGAAAATGAAAACGTTTCACCCGATTTCACCCCAATGACAGATATATATCTATTTTTTATTCCTTTTTTTAAGCATGTGCATTTCCCTAGTTTGTGAAACACCAAACCAAAATCAAAGAAAGAGTGGTGAAACTATCTATATCAGCAGGTATCAGTAGTCTTTATTTGTCATTCAAAAAACGGAACCAAAACCAGGACTGCATATACAGACAAAAAAAACACTAACATTTCAGTCATACTGTCATTTGTTTATGTTTCATCTTTTCTTGTCGTTATCAGCATTTTAATCCATCTTGTAGATGTCCTTGGAACTAAGGTTCACTTAATGTGGGAACTAAACATCTTTCCAACTTGAGATCTATACAGTCACAAAGAATTGTTTATTACACAGAATCTGTGCCAACAAAAAAAACACTAACATTTCAGTCATACTGTCATTTGTTTATGTTTCATCTTTTCTTGTCGTTATCAGCATTTTAATCCATCTTGTAGATGTCCTTGGAACTAAGGTTCACTTAATGTGGGAACTAAACATCTTTCCAACTTGAGATCTATACAGTCACAAAGAATTGTTTATTACACAGAATCTGTGCCAATATCACAGACTATAACTATGTCAGCATCACTTGGCCATTGAGTGTAGTTTGGGCTCCTCCTCAATGCATCCAATAAATGTTGTCACGTCATGCACATATCCAGTCTGTTTTTCTTCATTAGTAACATGCAATTATATAGGAGGTGGTGAATTTTAGAAACAATGAATGAGCTTTTACATGAGACATTTCAGTAAGTTGTACTGTAGGCTATCTTATAAAATAACTTTTGATGTTCATGAATGTTCATTTCGAACTAAAGAGAAAGATATGACGGGATCACGTGCCGCATTGAGGAGCGCCAAAACGGTATTGTTTAAATTTCGTTATGAATTTGGCAGAATTTTAAAGCTGATAGTCTACTTTGTTTATTAAAAGGTAACAAAGCACAAAGCTTATTGTGATTACTGGACAGCAAGTGCGCCACAAATAATACGAAGTTCACACATTAATAGAACACAGCATATACTGTAGTAGGGGTGGGAATCACCAGAGGCCCCACAATACGATACGATATTATCACGATACTTGTGTCACGATACAATATTGTTGCGATTTTAAATATATTGCGATATTCTGCGATATATTGCAATTTATTACATTTTTCCAACTTCAAATTATGTCCCCAAGGGAAAACTTTGGCAACATCTGTTTTAACTAAAAAGAAACATTTCTCAGTTTGTTTATCTCACTTCAATTTTATTGTTGCAGTGCAAAATGGGATTGTCAAGCAGACAAACTGACCAACACTTTCATGAAAACCTGTCGTAAATGTTGTATGCACCTGACAAACTCAACTATTTGTATTACAGTCTAGTCTAGTCCACTTTAATTAAATGTAAACAGGTATGCACTGCTGTGCTACTACAGGTATTTTGAACAATGCAACTTGAACTTGTACAAAAAAACGTTGTGCAGTCCCTTCAGCAATTGGGGCATTTTGAAAGTAAATTACTGTTAAATTTAAAATTAATAAAACATAGTCTTACATCCGATTTAAACGCGGACAGGGCTTTCCTTATAACTCTGCAATGCTGCCATCTTTATTTTACTAACTTACTGCATGCTGAAGGTGACCCAGCTGACCTCACCAGAAAAAAACTCAACACCACCATCTAGTGGATTGTAAAGAAATTAATTTTATTATTTTACCAAATAGTATAATAAAAAATCGATACTTGGCATCCGTGTATACTATGCTGTATCGATTTTTCCCCCCACCCCTAGCATATAGTCTAAAGATCTTGATAACAAGAAGCCACAGTATCGATTAAAAACGAGAATTGTTAACGATATTGTTATATCCACACAGCTGTTGTAGTTTGTTCGAGTTGTGCACGAAATAGACACTACTTTTCTGCACTTGTACTCTGCACGTCTCTGTCATTTTCGATCTCTCTCATGCCACCACAACCGGAGCTGCTTTAAGCAGGTGCGCCATCAGCGCTGGTGTTCGGCAGAGATGAGGACTGTTTGAAAGTCTTTTTTCACTAAAACTCTGATGCGCATCGACTCAATTTAAGTCAACATAACTAAAGATGTGATCACAAAACAATCAGGAAAAAAAGGCACTAAGTGCAAATTTTTAAGTCATAACATGTAAATTTATATAGTTGCCAGTGGTGACCTCAGCAAAAACTTCACTCGAAAATTAATATTGTTGGTCCGTTTTAGCCACAGTCTGGAGCCCTGATATATACAACCTGTAAACAAAGCAGCACTTGCTTACCATTTTGAATATGAATCCAGTTAATCATCTTCTTTATTAGAGACAGCTCATGTTGTTATTAAAATACTTGCATACTTTAATGCTCAGTTAAGATGACGTAAAATTAGAATAAACTTCTGTTGGTGCCTCTGAATACATGTGGGAAGTAAATTGTTATGTGCTTTATACATTATCTGTGCAATTCTGAAATCAAACAGAAGTTATCGAAATATGAAAAAGATTGTAAAAGCATATTTTGAAAGCAAAGCATCTACAATTCAAATGTGGTAGATGTTTAATCCCATATCTGAATCTCACCATCTCCCTCCAGGTCATCGGTCTCATCGGCCCAGCTTGTGGGCTTTGTGGGCGCATAACTCGGCGGAGCATTTCCCCCGCTGTCCTCTGCTAAAAAGTCAGTCAGGGTAAGGGTCTTACCCTTTTTCTTAATCTTTTTACCTGTCAAAAAAAAAAACAATAAGTACACATTGAAAACAGCATGAAAGGTCTCCAGTGCTTAACCATTAAGCTCAAACACCACGATGAGGCATCATCGATGAAAACAAATGGATTGTAAAAATAAGAGTCTGCTGTGGCTTATGCATGCATTTAAAACTGCAACTGGATGACAAAGCAGAAGATCCAACAATATGCAAATTAGTATACTTACTTTTAGGGGTGTGCGATATTGACAAAAAATTATATCTCGATATTTTATGGGATTTTATCGATAACGATAATTAGACGATATTTTGCTGAGTGTGTTATTGTGCTGGTGCCTTAAGGACTGCTGAAGACAGCTGACTCCTATGTCAAATCGCACATCGTTAAAACAACAATTACGATATTATCGCAGACGATATATATCGCACACCCCTACTTACTTTGCATTTATTATAATTCAGTAAATGTAGACTAACCGGTCCTACATAATTTGCATAGACAAACTGCTGCATTTGGAAAACAAGAATATCTATTTCCAGGTCAGACTGACTCTCGTCTGTTCTGGACCACTGCAGTTAACACGTGGAGAGAGGCATTGTTGTGAGCTACTACACACTTCTGAGCTCTTTGTGACAAACTGCACTGTCAGGACATTCCAGCTCTGTGCAACTGAATCCGTGTTTACTGTAGGGCTATGACACCCTGCTGCAAAACCAAAACAAAGCCCCCAAGTTCTGACAACATTATGCTAACGCTCAATGTATGTGCAATGACTCAGGCACACTGGCTTTAGAGTGGCAGTGACCTGTGAAAGTAGAAGGAAGAGTCAGACACCCTCCTGAATGATGATTATACTATATAGTCAAAACAACTGAATCCTAGAAGAGGTTTAAGGCTTGACAAGATGTGTATAAATGTGGTTTTATGCCATTTTCTCTTAGGACCGCTGTATGGGAATTTTCTCCATTAGAGCTACCATTTTTCAGCACCAGATAGGGCTTCCAAAAAGCACCTTAGATTCACATATGAATGCATTTGAGAGTTCTTCATTCTGTATGATTTTAAAATAGTATCAGAAAAAATAATGTCTTAAAGTAAATGGCATTGTTCCTTCTCGTGCTAAATGTCTATTTTTTTTTTTTAAATATATGTCGTCAATACGGTAACATGGCTGACAGTTACGATAGGGTGACCATATTTTAGTTTTTCAAAAAGAGGACAGTGGGTGCCGGCAGGGCAGTGGGCTGGGGTGTGGTTGGTTGGTGGTTCAAGTAATGCCGAAAGCGCCCAAAGTAGCGCAATCTCAAATATCAAAACTCAAAATATGTCATTTCCATATCTAATATACATATTTTACAGTCACTGTTATGCATATTTATCATAAACACAGCTAAAAAGCTTCCTACCAGTGGCCATCCTTCACAAAACTTAACATCTGTTTTATCATAGGTAGAATGCAAAATGTTTCAATACAAGCATTTCAGTCAAATGTAATTTATGCAACATTTCAAACCTTTAACCCACGGGGGAAAATCAAGCCATGGCAACAGTTTAAAAATAGGCCAATTCCATCGGAAAAAAAACCCGCGGACTTGACAACTACCTTTAACCCACGGGGGAAAATCAAGCCATGGCAACAGTTTAAAAATAGGCCAATTCCATTGGAAAAAAAACCCACGGACTTGACAACTCTGCATCCAACACGAGCTTCAGGAGTCAGATTTCACTGATCACGGGGTTGAGAGGAGAGATGGCTGACAGACCATGCTTGAGGATTTGCTGCTCAACACATCCTGAGCTCAAATATCTGATCTTCCTTTACACAGAGCGCGCGTGATCGCGAAAGTGAAAGTGAACAGCGAGCGCTCATTCAAAAGAGATTACACTCTCTATAGTTCACTATTGATAGCGGCCCCCTGATGCGTGAAAATTATATGCAATATTAGAATGTTTGCGGGAGTGGGCGGGACTGGACACAGTCTTCTTCAGGGCTCTAATACAAAAACGCACACTATGAATGGCGTCTGTAGAAAGCAAAAGCCGAATCCCGGACATTTTGGGCGATTTAGAAATCCCGGCCGGATGCATTTTTTAAGGTCCAAAAACAGGACATGTCCGGGAAAAAGAGGACGGATGGTCACCCTAGTTAAGAGTTTCATTTGACAATTCACGCCTTGTGCTTGAGGTCATGAAACGACATAATGAAAAAATAACTTCTAAAATATCTGCTCAACTGTTTACCATACAAAATCATGGTAGCAATGGCAAACAAAAATAGGAAATTAGTGGTTTAAAAAATAATAATTATTAAATTAATTATTATTAATTAATTATAAAGAGAAAATACACTACTACTAATAATAATAGTAATAAAGAGCAAAAAAGTAAATAAACAAATTATAATAATATAAAGTAAAGATCTGAAAAAATAGAAAAAATACTTCTACTAATAATAAAAAGTAAAAACATATTAATAAGTAAATAATAACAAAAGTAAGATAAATAAATAAGCAAATAATATCAATAAAGTAAAACAAAATAATTAAACAACAATTAAAACAACGTAAAAATGACGTTTTTTTTTTTTTTTTTAAGTTAAAGTTGGCATTAGGACTATTTTGTCATTTCTAATAAATCAACACAGAGCGTTCATCCCGAAACGGTAAGGACAACTGTTTGTCCCGGGACAGTGCAGATTGAGAAGATCTCTAATCGAGTTGTACTGAGCGTTTGTCCTGGGACAGTGCAGAAGGCCAATGAGAGCAGCCCTAACATAATTGTTGTTTTATCAATGCCGTGGTTAAGTTTGCAATTAAACAAGGGACATGCACTTAGCACCAAAATATGTTATCTATTTATGCTCATACAAGGCGATGTATTTTGTAAGATAAACGCGGGAAAGTGCAAGGGGAATGTAAGAAGTTACAGCAGCCCCTCCCTCAACTCTGCGCCTGCGGTTACACAACTATTCACGCGTACATGAGCTCGAGCCAGTTGTTTATTTCGGTCGTGTCTTGTAAACAAAGCAAAGCAATACTGCATTTATATGTGGAAAAACAAAACAGTTACAATGCAATGACAACAACACAAAGCAGCACGCATACAGACACGGGCTTGGCTGCATGTGCTTCGTTTTCTGTCTGAGAAATGCGCAGAGTAAAATTGCGCCGTTTTGTACATGTAAACAGCGCTTCCGTGTTGTGGGAATAGAAAGTAAATAAGCTGATCAGTATGTTCTCGTGCATACACATAGCTGCTGGTGCAGTTTCTACGCAGCGTCCCTTCACAACTCAAGATCAAGCTTTTACAGTCAGCCCTCGCCGCTAAATCGAGTCCATCACGGGTGCGACACACTTTATCTGCCACTGAATTAAATTTCCCTGACACTAATGACACGTCGCACCCAAAATTTCCCAACCGGCCCAGCCACAAATCTATAAAACCCTCACCTGCAGCCGCCATGCTGGAGAAGGAGTGCGTGTCATATCCCCGGATGGGGGCGTGTCTTGCAGCGTGACGTCGACACGCATCCAGCGCTGCGCTCGCGGCGGTTTGGGTAATGTAGCCTAGTCTTTATGGTTAGGGTTCAGTTTAATCTTGTTGTCAATGCGTGTAAACGGTGCTCCCCAAAATATTTGTACACATATACCGTGTTTGGCATGAAGTTCATTGCATTAGATAATTATATAACTGGAGAGCATACTTGTATTTTGTAGTGTTTTGACCAGCAGAGGGCAGCTTCAAATCGTGTCAGCATTCTGTCATCCTCTAATATTTACTTGCTCAAGCTTTGAAAAAAACTGGAGAGAACAACTGCAAGAGTGTCTTCATCATATCATCATTATCAGCTTCAAAGTGAGACACATCATAACACATATACACACACTAAAGCGTCTTCGTCGGCTACTTTTCAATTATTTTTACAACCAGGGGCCTGTACCATGATGGTGGCTGAACAAACTCGGGGTTACAGGATTAGTTTTGAGTTGACAAAACCAAACCAGTCCAATCTGTCTTTGTTGGTACCATGAAGCTGATCATCAACTTTCTCTGTCAACTCAGGCTTGATCCTGAATTAATGGAGCATGCACACAAAAGAGTGACATCAGTAATGAACAGCCAATCACATGCCTTGAAACTGTGATTCACTTCTTGAGAGAGAGTCACTACCAAAGATTAAAAGATTGAACAATATGAAGAATTTAAACACATTTACAAGATGAAGCGATCTATCCATGAAAAAGTAAAACTTAAAGATTACATCTTGCCATATAAGTGCAAGTAAAAGTTCTAAAGTTAGTTTATAGAGTTGATAATATTTATTGGTATAAAAACACTTAAAAATCTAAACTCATATGTAGTCATGTTTAAAGCTATTGATTCTAAAACTTATTTATATTGCATATTATCTATATGTTTATATTAATTTAAAATAAAAGCTTAATAATTACTATTAAACTAAGCTAGCCTGTGTAATGGTTTAAGGGTATAATAATTATATAAATCATATAAACTAATTGTAAAAAATAATCTCTAAAAATCAGACAATTTTTCATTTCGTCAGAGATGTGTCACTTTGCTTGAGGCTGATTGGTCAAATTTCACTTTGAGATCTCTAAACCAGAACATAACCTGCCCCAGAGCAGGTTAGCTGTGGAGTGTAAGTTACTAAAGGCAATGAATGCCGCTAAAAGCCAAGCCACTTTCATGGTACCTAAAACCCAGGATTGGTGCAAACTAAACTGAAATTTACCTGGCTAGCCAGCTAATCCGGCTTCATGGTACAGGCCCCAGACCTGGTTTGATAACCTTACTGAAAGTAACTTAATAAATGTTCATTTATTAATAAATATTAAATCATGAACCATCCACTTAAAACTGAAGGATTTGTTTATTCACCAGCAGTATTAGCAATGCATTTCTTTCAAGTTAATGGGCAAACGTCACATAATTAATATTTATGAGCAAGGTCTTTACCTGAAGTAGGACTTAAAAATACACCATGCGGCCTGTATAAATGTAAGTTTTATTTCCTGTTTATAGAAGTTAAGTTTATGATAACTTAAATTACTTTAATACTATATAATTTTAGATCATTATTTCAAATACATTTAAATATTTATAAACGTCATAATATTATTTCATACATATTCATATTTGAAGGTTAATAAACTACTAAACTGTTAAACCAGCAAGTGGCAGGGTTTCCCAAAGTGGGGTTTGTGAGATGAAAAAAAAAATGATAGAAAAAAAAAAATGAAAACAATATAATAAATAATCAAAATAAAACACTTACTAAAAAGATGAAATATTTTATTTGTTTACCTCTATGTTATGAGACCATTAACCAACATCAGAAATCTGTGAGATGTTCAGTTATTGAAATATTAACTTAAAACCTTTCAGGTAAATATTTAAAATATTTTTCAGCTGACAAAAAGTTTGGGAATCCCCGTGTTAAATTGTGTTTAATGTTGTTAATGACCAATGCAAGTTATTTTACAATGTTTATATCGGGTGAAGGCTGATGTTCATATTGTACAACAGTGAAGGTGTCTAATGTGTTTTGTCAAGTTTCGTATGTTTCTGTTTAGCTTTTTGGCAGTTCAAATACACAATCCATGTAGTCTCAATTAACATTAGGATATATGGCGTAATAATTATTGAAAGAATTAAATGAATATAGTTCACCCAAAAATGAACATTTTGTCATTATTTACCCACCCTCATGTTGTTCCAAACCTGTATAAGTTTCTTTCTTGAAGATATTTGGATGAAAAAACAGTTGTTGGTCCCCATTGACTTTCATAGTATATAGGGAAAGAAAAACTATGGAAGTCAGTGGGGACCATCAACTGTCTGATTACCAGCATTCTTCAAAATATCTTATTTTATGTTCAACATAAGAAAGAAACTCATACAGGTTTGGATGATATGAGGGTGAATAAATGATGACAAAATTTCCATTTTTGGGTGAACTATCCCTTTAAGAAATAGAAATGATTTTAGAAGTCAGTGGCATGTCACATAAAACTGCATTTTATGTCTGCATAAAGCACAGGGTGGCAGTGTTGTCATTGACAGAAAAGAAAGTGTAAACCCACACCAAATCTCATTTGTGCTTTCCGGAAAGCCGACGCTATAAAGCACATGTGACGCACATAGTTTCATGGTTGAAGTGTAAACCAGATGCTCAAGTGAGTAAAAAAGTAAAATAAAGTGCCTGTGGTAGGTGCTGAATCGACACGGTTTTATATCATGACACCAAACATCTTCTCTTATCCTTTCACCAACTCAAAAGTCTTTAAGATGATGGAAAAAGGAATCAATTCAGCTCATATTTCATAATTATTGCAACAGGAAACTGATGCCACATGACACCATGCCTCATTCGAGAGTAGAAATAAGCGAGGGAACATCAGGCATGACTGTAAGGCTTTCCCTCTTTTTTTATTGGTTTGTTTTGACCCAAACTTCAGAGTGGTAACCATAGATACAACTTCTGTGTGTCAAATAGGTCACTGAAGGGCAAGGCTGGAGCACGTGGGAGGATTGGGAGCACGCCAAGTTTCAGAGAACATCCCACAGTTCAACAGAGATGAGGCGGTGGGAGGCAAAGGTGACGCCCACATCTTATGCATTCATCTTTTTTCAGTGCATAACCTCAGAGGCCGTGTCTAAGATATTGACCAAACAGCTCAGTTTTTGTTTTGGCAACAGGGATTCTCCCCTCACACTAGACACCAGCTGCGTCACATGTGCTTGCAGAATCATTGATTTCAGAAGTGATAGTGTACTATGATTGGCTGCTGGTTGGTTTCACTTCCATTCTTACAACTTTGGTCCAGTTTTTGGTCTTTGAGTTTCAGGTTTTTGTTTTGATTTGGTGTTTGTTCTGATGTCACTGCGTTGCCAGGAAGAGGGTTTTATTTAGGATAAGAGAGTCATCGATGTGATCTCTGCGTGATTATATGCAGTTTGGAGAGCTGCAGCTATGCAAATACTGTGCTAATTTCCATATCGACCGCAGTGCTGCCTCATTTCTGCCATTCGGTTTCTCTTACCTGGCATGTGTAGTCATTGGCAGTAATTAGTGGAGCACACAAAAGAATTTCTTACCAAAACTCTAAACCGGAGTTAACTTTCTGTCACGATATCAGTCAGCTCTCACTATGGACTACATTTCCCACAAGCCCCGCACCTGGAACTAATTATACACACACACACCTGTTGTCTATCTGGAGCACTATAAAGGTTGCTCTCACACACACACTCACTGTAAAGTATTGTGTATGTTGATGATTGTCTGTCTGTTCGCTACGGCTCCGTGCCTAGCGATTCCTGAGCCTGAGTCTAGTCTGTCTGTTCCTGTGTTTTGACCTACTGCCTTTGTTTGACTTCGCTGTGACATTAAAGCTGCACTTGGATCCGACCCTGCCTTCTCGTATCCTTACATCTGTAACAGAATACTTTGCCACCGAGGATCCAGCAGCCGTGTCTTGCCGCTCCGATTGAGGATGGAGTTGGCAAAAGAACTGGTCCGTCTACGACAGGGAGCACAAACCCTCGAGGACCATATCCAGACCTTTATAGATATTGCACACTATGCAGACCTGCCGGATTTCATGCTCATTGACTTTTTTGCTCTTGGACTAAATGAGCCACTAAAAGCTCACCTTTTCCGAGATGGTCCTCGTGGATCCCGTTCCTGTAATGGCGGCCCTTGCAGAGATTCATCCCGTCGCAGCTAAGGAACCAGAGCCGTGTCTGTCCACGGCTGTTCCCCTTGAATTGACCACAAAACGCCAGAGGTTGGTCTCCAGTGTGGAGGATCCCCCGCTGAGATCGGTGCGAGCGGCTGGTGTGTCCGTGTTCTCAGTGCTGGTAATCCCTCTAAGCTCAGCGGCAGCACCCGCTGTAGGAGAAGCCGGGGAGGCGACACCCGCTACGGACCTCCCAGAGGTGGCGGCCATTGCTGCAGAACCTCTCAGGGAAACGGCATATGCTCCAGCTCCCCTCACAGTGGTGAGTCCTATTCCTGAACTGTCTGCTTGTCTGAATTCTGCGGATAACTCTGATTCTGAACTGTCTGCTTGTATGCATTCTACTGATAACTCTGATTTTGATCTGTCTGCCCATCCTGTCACGAATACGGAGGTCGTTTGTGAGCTCACTGACCATCCTGTCACGGCTATGGAGGCCGCCTGTGAACTCACTTCCTGTCCTGTCACGGCTATAGAGGCCGTCTGTGAACTCTCTGCCTGTCCTGTCACGGCTATGGAGGCCGTCTGTGAACTCACTGCTCGTCCTGTCACGACTATGGAGGCCGTTTGCGAGCTCTCTGCTTGTCCTGTCACGGCTATGGAGGCCATCTGCGAATCCTCGTCCTGTCCTGTCACAGCTATGGAGGCCATTTGTGAACTCTCTGCCTGTCCTGTCAAGGCTATGGAGGCCGTTTGTGAACACTCTGCCTGTCCTGTCAAGGCTACGGAGGCCATTTATTAACTTTTATCCTGGT